CAGAAAAGATTAAGAAAGGATGAGTGGAAGGCTGAGGTCAAGCTCACTTCAATGGCTAGTCATGATCTGTTAAGTGATTTCAAGAACTGATCATATTCCCAGACTTACACCACATGGACTAACGGAGAGATTGGGTGTCCATGAGGAAGGACCTGGGACAGCATGGCAAGTATATTTATATTTCTTCAGTCCTGCTCCAGGGATTTATGGTTAGTCTCCAGATAACCATTGACTGGGGAATAAGGAATACCCTGAACTTTTGAGAGATGTTGGATCTAGGGTCTAAGTTGGTGGGGATATCCAGGGATCCAAAGCACCATCATGGGCCCCCTGTTAAAGTAGGGGCATATTTGAGTCAGATAACAAATGAAGTCTTCTCTCAGGACTGTCTCACAGTGGGTCCACCAGTTCCATTTACCAACCTGGTGATCATTTCCCTGATTTCTGAATGTACACTTGGAATGGACATACTCAAGAGTTGACAGAGCCCTCATATTGGTCATTGACCCATAGAGTAGGAGCTACTGTGGCAAGAAAAGACGAACAAAGCCCCTGGTATTGCTCCCTCTCTCCCAACAAAGCTAATAAACAAAACATTCAGGGGAAAATAACATTCAAATGGGACAGACAATATTACTTTTATAGTCTTGCTCTAGGACTATGTTCATTTTCTGTTTTCTGCCCTAATGTGTTCCAAAGAGACCTGGACCATCTGGCCATTCTACACACTACTACATTGATCTATCATATTAAAATATCATGCTAGTCAAATCTGATGAGCAAAGATGCAAGTATTTTGTATGTCTTGATGAGACACGTAAATTCCAGAAAGTGGATAAACCCCAGAAAAATTCAGAAGACTGTTACATCGATGACATATTTAAATAACAGTTACTATTATAAAAATTAAAAAGTTTTGATATAACTTTAGACTTACAGGAGACATGCAAAGGGAGAACGAAATTTTCTGTATGCCTTTAACCCAGCTTGTCCTTAAGTTAATATCTTATATCAGTGTAGAACATTTATAAAAACAAAGAAAATAACTTTGGCAAAATGCTATTATCTAACGCATAGACTTTCTTTGGGTGGTGAAGTGATCCAATGGTTTAGGTAATGTCAGGACATCCTCCAAAGTCAAGGACAATTTACTGCACCTTGTATTTTCTGCCACTTGGAGAAAGTAGCATAACACTTGGTAGAACTCTTCAGATTGTGGAAGGTCTGGCTCAGATCAAGAAAGGACTCAGTAGAATGTCCAGCCCATGCATGGTACAAGCAGCCCTGTCACTTGGGCCATACCACCTGACACATCTCATGAAACCAAAGGTATCTGTTGTGGAGGTGAGACCATGCAGGGCTTCTGGCAAGTCCCAAAACAAGAGTTCTGGTGCCGCCCTCCACGGTTCTGGAGCATGGCCATGCCCACCTGCAGGAGAGAGCCATGTACATTTAGAAAGCATCTTCTGGAATGCTGCTGAGCCCTGATGGAATCTGAGCATCTGACCACAGGGCAAGTGATTATGTCAGTCAAATTGTCCATCATGAACTGGGCAATATCAGATCTGTCAAAGCTACCAGCTCTTGAGTGTGGGGTTAGCAGCAGTCTTTTAAAATGGAAGTGGTACATCCAAAATTGAATTTGAGCAGGCCCAGCGGACACACAGAAGCTGCCCAAACAGATGGATCCCCATTTCTCCTACTACTGTCGCACCAATGCCTTTTCCTTAATCCATGGAAGTCCCTTTGACCAGATGATAGAGAAGGAAAAACCTGAGTGTGATTGAAAGTTGATAAGCTTGATCTGTCGATACAAGAGGAAAATGGACGGTTACTTCACTGCAGACCTACTCAGGGTGAGAGTCGTCTTCCTAATGGACACAGTTTAGGCCAGGGTTCGTAGTCATTTATTTGGTGTAGGAGAGAAGTAGCTGAAGAGGAGGATATATGTGGACATAAGGCAGTGGCGAATGGCTTAGCTGGCTGGTAAGTGGCCTAGAAGGAGCAAGCTTGAAAGACTGGGGTGGAGATCTAAGGGGGTCAGCATGAACTGTGAGGACCTTTGGATCATATGCTAATTATCCCAAAGGAACCTTTGGTATATAGCTGGGCAGAAGGGTTAGTAGTAAGGGCATCAGTGTCAGAGAGACCTACACTTAAATCCTTTACTCTGACCACACCCACTGTGAGCCCCTGGGCATTTACTTTAGCATCCTGAGTTTCATCCTCCCCCACTCATCAAAAGGATGTTTTGAGAATTCAGTGGTGTGTTTGAAGGGCTGACATGGTACTTGGCACACTGAGAGTACTCAATAAATGGCAGATAGTTTTTACTATTTCTTTGAATATGCTCAACAATCCTGATGTAGGCACTAAAAGCCAGGTTTATCAGATAAGAAGCAGGCCCAGGGAAGTTAAGTGACTTAACCAAATTTTCAGTTTACCAAGTGTCAGCAAGGGGATTTAAATTAAGATTTGTTTGGCTTCCAAACCCATGGACAGCTTTAACACTCTGCACTGGAGGAACCACACTTAGAAGTGAGGTACAAGACAAGAGCTTGCTATCAGATGAATTCTCTCTCTCTCCTTTACAACAATTTGAAAAGGAAAGATTATTCTGTTTTACAGATAAAGGCACTTGAGTGTCAGAGAGAGCGCATGACCTGACTAAGGCCACATAACTAGTAAGTGGAAGAAGCTGGCAGTTGAGCTTTCTCTGTACTGTTTCCATGTTCTTTTACTAGGGGCTAGATTGGTGATGGGATTCATTTTGGGAAAATTCTATGGAGAGAATCTAAGAAAACTATAATTCCATCAGGGCTTGGGGTTCAAGAACAGTTTTAGCCTAATGGACCCCATTCCTAGGGCAAAGGACCTTATCAAGAGTCAATAAATTATTAATAGGGTTATAGCCTGAAGTAGGACAAAAGTGCCTTCTATACAGTTTGAACCCTTTTCTTCCTTGGTATTTACCTAAATTATAAAGTTTATGATCAGAGATTCCCAACTGTATTGTAAGTTCATGAAATTTAAGCAGTGAGTTGAGCAGACAGTACAAAAGTGATCAGTGTGGAAAGCTCCGGCAGATAAACACCACAGGAAATGTTCAGAAGTCCCTTGTACACTGTTGGAGTCCATTTATTGGAGGGGGTGGGTCCCCTAATTTCCTGGATGATAGCACACATTTGCCGAAATTGCAAAGAGATGTTTTGGGCTGAAGTCTTGTAATGTCCTTAGAGGGGCTGAGCCAGGGTGCTTGAATGCCATACTTCTTGGATTTCTCCTTCAGTCTTTTTCCTTGTACATCGTGTAATACTGTGCTATAATAAATATATAGTTGGTCTTTGTTCCCATTGCTAGCACAGAGCTTCTAATACCTTAGTATTTTGGTGAGTAATTGGTGATAGGAGGGTCTTTTGTCATTCCTAACAAGCCCCTTTCTACAGGAATTTATGCTAATAAGTTTGACTCCAAGGGGTGGGGGTTGCTGGTTGCCTGGAGAAACACTTTCAAGCTAACTGACCTACCCCCAGGGAGGGGAGAGGGGATGGAAGTTGAACAATGACCAATGACTTAATCAATCATACCTTTGTAATGATATCTCTGCTAAGAAACCCTAAATAATGGAGTTCTAAGAGCTTCTGGGTTGGTACCCACACTGAGGTGCCTGGAGGGTGGCAAGCTTAGAGGAGCATGCTCCCCTCCCACCCATCCATACCTTGCCCTGTGCATCTCTTCCATTTGGCTGTTCCTGAGTTTGCATCCTTGACAATAAACCAGTAAATGTAAATACTGTGAACTGTTCTAGCAAATTAGAACTAGAGCACGCAGGGCCTGGGAATCCCTGGTTGGATGTTCAGAGGTTCAGAGGCCCCCACTTTTGTAGTGGGGGACAGTCTTGCAGGACTGAGCCCTTAGCCTGTGGGGTCTGCACTAACTCTGAGTAGTTAGTAGTGAATTGAGTTACAATGGAGGACACCCCTTTGTGTCCAGAGAGAACTGGAAAGTTGTGTGGTGTAGAAAACTCACAAATGTGGGTGTCGGGAGTATTTTGGGTAAAAAAAAGCGAATACCCCCAAGATTCCAGTTTCTATTCTTTCCTTTAGGTCCTACCTTTACCCTCAAGAAAGGCCAAAGACTAGAAGGTGAAATAGAGAAGAAACCAGTGTGATTCATTCAAGTCAGATAATCTTTATTTAACATCTGCTGTATTCAAATACACAGAGTTCTCTCCCTCAGCTCTAGCAGTTACAAAGATGCAAAGATAAACTATTTGCATCATCCCTGCTTTCAAAACCTAGCTCCAGTGCCTTCAGGGTTTTTCCCCTGGTCTCTGACAAGAAACTTAAAAACTTGTAAGGGGGGGAGGGGGAGGGGAATGGAGATCTTTTATCCTAGCAATCATATTTTAAAGCTAAAAATGAGGCCTGAAGTTTTAGATAATTGGCAGAGTCGGCTTTTGTATTGGTGTTTCCCTTCTGCTGTTTCTGGTCGTTTTCTACAGCAATTTTAGCACATCTTAAATATTTCTGTATTTCTGAACAAAATTGGAGAGGTTGTGAAGCCCATTTAGGAAAGGAGCTCAGGAACTTTTGATTCACAAAGAAACTGGGCGGGGGGGTAATTTTGCTGTATTGAAACTCTGCATCCCAAACCTATATGGCCATTATTTTTACGCTATAAATTTTGTGAGGACGGGACCCTTGTGCTTAGAAAAAGAAAATTCATCCCCTCCGCCGTGTTGAATAAGCAAATAAAATACATAAACATACGTGAATGACTTCTGCGTGGCTGTGTGTGACGCGTGACCATGTTTGTTATTTTTTTAGATTTTTCACTCTGGATCTTTGTTGAAGGCCAGCAGGAGGAAGGCGTAGCGTGGGAAATGAAGAGGTTTAACCACGTCCCACCATTATGGAGTTGAGTCTAGCAGGTTAGGGGGCGGATACACCACAGTAGAAAGTTATTAACACCTTTTACGACGGTTAGGAATGGCTGGGTGCTCGGGGTTGGGGGGATTTAAGTTTCTCTAGGAGTGGGGAAATACTGCGCCTGTTAGAACTTGGCTCTGCACATCAGGAGCCAGAGTTCTAGAACTGGTTCTACTACTGATTTGCCCCGGGGACCTCGAGCTAGTATATTAGGCTTGTATATTAAATCCCCCAGATTTCTGTTTTCCAGTCTGAAACTAGGGGTTGGCTGGACGAGGAGGTTAGCTGGGACAACGGCCCCCGTGGCTTCCCATTGCAATTGTTCCTCGCCCTGGCACCGCCTCCCTCTCTCGGAGGCCAGAAGAGGAAGAGAGAGCGGCCCCTTTAAGGGAGCCCTCGACTACCAGGGCCCGGGGTGCCCCCCGCAGGGGAGCAGGGGCGGGGCGCCGGGAACCCGGGCTTCCCACGCAGCCAGGGACGCCGTTACGTCACAGAGCTCGCAGCCAATCAGGATGGAGCCTACCGGGACGCATTACTAGGGCGACGGGCCGGACGCCTCCCCGCTTCGGGATGAATTAGCGGCGGGTTCTGTTTGGAGATTGTGACCCCCACGGATTCTGCAGGTCGCCCACGCGTCCCCCACGGTGACGCTCGCTGTCCTCTGCTGGTCACAGGTGGGAGGCTGGAACTGTCAGGTGGGGGTTACGCGCCGGTAAAATGGCGGCGGCCGGGGTATCCCCGAGTTGGCGGAGGGGGAGCAGTCCCACGGGCTCTTCCCTTTGAGCCGAGGTTTTCCCCGGACTGCGGCCCAGGTAACGGTCACTCGGCCAGGAGTTGGGGTCCTGACGCCGGTGCGGCGTCGCTGGCTCAGGTGAGAGGAGGTGCGGAGAAGCTACTCCCGGAGCCTGGGGAGACGTCGGGGGGCTGTGGCGCCGCGTGGGCCGGCTAGGCTAGGACGATGCGGCTGCTGGGTCAGGAGAGCCAGGTGTCCCCTTGGCCTGTACAGATTAGCGTCAGGACCTTCCTGTTCCAGACGTGAGCGGGTCTGTGAGCTGCCTCGCCTCGATCATAGTCCTGTTTCTGCCACTGTTAAATCACTTGTGTAAAATGTCCCAAGTGTCCGCCACGTGCCAGCCCTGATCTGTGTATCCTTCAGGCACCAGATGCCTGCCCATAGGTGCCCGAGTGGCGGTGCCACGAAGGGAAAGGTAGGCCCCAGCCCGGAGCTGCTATCATGTCAGATCCTTAAGGTGTGTCTTCTACCTGCCCTTTGGAGAGAAGAAATAATGATAGGGCACTTGAGATGCCTCAGGGGCCTTTCGGTTCCTTTGTACTTACCTGCTTCAGGTGGGTTCCTCGGAATATTGCATCTGCCTTTGAACCTCATTAACTGTATTCCATGTGCACGTGGCTGTAGATACGGCTGAGTATTGGGATTCAGTGTAAGCCCAGGCAAATAATGAAAAGTATGGTGAAAGGGCTTTCAGAGATGAAATATTGTCTATACATGTCAGTCGCTTATTTGGGCAAAGACACGTCATGGAATGTAATTAGTTGAGTTTTCAAAAATGTCTAATGAAAGTCCTTTTTGCGAAAGTATTGATTTTTGAGAGTAAAAGAAAATTATCAATTTTTAAAAGTTTTTTCTTTTTCTTTTTTTTTTTTAAATGTTTTTATTTATTTTTAGGAGAGATAGAGACAGCGTGAGCAGGGGAGGGTCAGAGAGAGAGGGAGTCACAGACTGAAACAGGCTCCAGGCTCTGAGCTGGCAGTCAGCACAGAGCCGGACGCGGGGCCTGAACCCACGAACCGTGAGATCATGACCTAAGCGAAAGTCGGACGCTTAATCGACTAAGCCACCCAGGCGCCCCAAGTTTTTTCTTTTTTAAAAAAAGTTTCTGTTGCCACATTTTATTTCGATGTGATAGCTAGTAATAGTGAGTCATTTTTTTTTTTTTTTTTGATAGCAGGCTTGATGTTGCTTTGTTCTGTCCTTGAGAAACACGGTAGCACTTTGTGAGTCAGCCGTTGGTGGTTTTTGTCTTTTAGTGCCCACTGTGTGTCAGGTACTGTGAAAGTGAGGGTTCTCCTACCTTTTAAATTGAGCTAATGGGTTAGTTCATCTGCCTCCACTTGGCTCTTGCTGACCATCTAGAGGAAACAGTGGGGAAAACCTAAAAGACTTTTTCTTGCAAACTGCTACCAGGAGATTTGGTCAGTTTGGCCTGGGTAGGTGTGGTTTCTAGTTCCTGTTCTGCCAATTAAAATACATTAGGGAAATCATATAACCTCTTTGTCAGTGTTTCATCTCTGGAACGGGCACAGTATTTCTTGTCCAAACAGTCTCATTGTATTGTGAGGGAAAAAAAAGAAAAGAAAACAAAACAAAACAAGACAATGTATATATGAAAGGGCTTAATAAAGTTAAAAATATTCAGTGATAGCAGTTGACATTTATTACTATGAGGTTACTCTGCCAGGGACCTTATTTGTGCTGACTCAGTCACCTAGCAATTTTGTGAAGTACTTTCCCCTCTTTGTTATACCGATGAGGAAACTGAGGCACCGAATGAAACAACTCTGTTCTTAATGGCCATACGGTCTTCCAGTATTATACAGATTTGTTATGTGTTAAAGGGATATATAGGAACACATTTTTCAATGAAGTAAGTTTGTTTGTGATTTTTTGGGTTATATTTTATAAGTAATAATTGTGTTTCATTCCGTTGGCATCCAGCAGTGATTTATATAGTGATGACTACAGTTACTTCGGTTAAGTGGTATATTCATCTTACTTTTGGTGCCCTTTATTTTTAAAATTATTGTAAAACAAAGAGTTGATTAATTTCTAACAGGAAGCACAAATCAATAGTCAAGATTTAGTTTTTATTAAACTCCGAAAGAATAATTTGCTGGGTGACTTTTAAAAGAAAGCTTACATTAGGTTCATTTCTTTGATGTATTTGCATGAAGTATTCTAGTCTCTAAAGAAAAAAAAAGGATATGACTAAAAGTGGCTCAGATATTCATTCTTTCTTTGAGCCTTTATGGAATTGCCCTGCCAAGTCTTTGGCGTGTAAAGATTAATTCCTGACCTTATTATCGTGGAGCTCAGGGAGAAGTCTCAGGTCCAAAAGTTTGTAGACCAGTGAATAAGATAAATAATTAACTAATGCAGTGTGAAAGGGACTCAGATATAGTTGCGCTGGGTACAGAGAATTGTGGGAATACATACAAGGGAGCGGTTGCTCTTGTTGGGGTGGCCATGGCTAACAGAAGAAGAGTGACTGCAGGAGAAAGGAGAAAGGGCTTCTCGTCAAAGGAGTTAGCAGTGGGGAGTCCGGACAAGTGAGAGTGCATTGGTGTCCAGGGATCAGACAAGAGTTTTGCAGAAATTGCTGAGAGAGAACCCAGGAATGATTGGAGATTCTCAGCTGAGAGAGTAACTTTATCCTGTAGCCAGTGGAACCTGTAGGAGGATCTTAATCAAATGAGTCGTATGATCAAGTTTATGTTCTCGAGAGATGATTTTGGTAGCAGGGTGACACCCAGAATGTCAGGAGACCAGTTGAGGACAGTTTGCATACTCCAAGCAAGAGGTGGTGAGGCAGTGAACCAGGGCATTAACTGGCAGACCAGAGTTCAGAGTCCGCCACACACATTTTGAAGGCAGATGGAAGACTGAGTGTGAAGAATAGTGAGGGGGGAGAGGGGAACCCTTGCTAACCAAGTAGAGTCAGGTGTTGTTTGTTTTGCTACTTTGGTAACTGTATGGTTGCAGGTTGGAGATACTGTTAATTTAGGGAAAGGGTAGAGCAGAAAGTTCTTTGTTACTGGGTTTTGGGAGAATTGTAAGCCCTTTGATGTTGTTGGGCCAATAAAGTTTCCTAGAACCAGGCTTATGACTTCCTCTAGGGTTCTGGTTTCATAGACTACAGAAAACTTAAATTATATCAAAAAAGTCAGCAGGGTCTAGTGTAAAGGTGGATCCACTGGACCAAAGCCATGAAACAGGAGCGGGAAGAATCCTCTTCCCCCCCAAAGTCTGTTGGGGGTAAAAATGTTAGAATAAAATTTTTTCATTTATTTTTACATTAGGGTTTTAATATATTTGTACAGATGTCTGTTATAATATGAAAGTAATCACAAATGAAAAAGTGCTCTCCACTCAAGCATTCATAACACTAGAGTTGTCTAGCATCTGACCATATAACATGAATGAACGCATTCCAAATTGACTGCAAGGTGAAATTGGAAACCTTGCAGAGATGCAGGATTTCATGCATTCAGAGCAAGGCTGAGAACTGTTCAAACAGAAGCACAAGTCAGAGAACTAGTACTCTAGTAATACTAGAGTAAAATTCTTAAAAAGGACTCTGAAAGCAGTGACTATAACAATGACTGATAAATTTGACTTGAGACTTCATTAAAATTGAGAACTTCTCTCCTGCTACACCATTAAGAAAATGAAGTGCAGGGGTGCCGGGGTGGCTCAGTCCCTCGAGCGTCCTACTTCAGCCCAGGTCATGACCTCAGGGTTCATGAGACGGAACCCCACATCGGCCTCCCTGCTGTCAGTGCAGAGCTTACTTCAGACCCCCTGTCTTCCTGCCCCTGCCCCTCCTCCCTTGCTCTTTCTCCCTCCCCCTCTCAAAAATAAACATTCAAGAAAAAGTAAGGGGCAAAATACAGACTAGAAGAAGAAATTTGCAATTCATATATCTGACCAAGGACCCCTACCCAGAATGTGTATATGTGTGTACGTATAAAATTAATAAGAAAAAGAATTTAAAAATGTACAGAAGTTCTGAACAGGCTCTTTATACTTTATACTAGAGAATCTGGGTAGCTCAGTAGGTTGGGCATCTGATTTTGGCTCAGGTTACAATCTCACCATTTGTGAGTTCAAGCCCCACATTGGGTTGCTGTCAGCCTGTCAGCACAGAGCCCATTTTGGATCCTCTGTCCCCTTCTCTCTCTACCCCTAACCCACTCACACTCTCTTGCTCTCAAAAAATAAATAAAACATTAGAAAAAAGGTGCTCAACATTATTAGTCAATGAAGAAATGGAAATCAAAAACAGTGAGCTACTACTACACACCTTCCAAAATGGCTAAGATTTAAAAGATTGCTAATGCCTGTATTGGCAAGGATGTAGAGCAACTGAATCTCATATATGTTGTTGGTAGGAATGTACAGGCATTTTGGAAAACTGTGGTTGTGTCTGATCCTACCCGTGATCCATCAAATCCATTCCTAGGTACATGCCCAAGGGGAATGGATTTCTATGTCTTAAAAAAAAAAAAAAAGTGAAAATGTCTTTGTAGAACCTTTATTCATAATCACTAAAAATTAGATAAAACCCAAGGTACATTAGCACTAGAATGGATGAGTCCATTGTGGTATATATATAAAAGGAAACATTAAAAAAGCAGTGAAAGAATAAACTGCTGATACATGCGTCCACATGGATGGATTTCATAGACGTAAGGAGCCAGACAAAAGATTGTATTCCATATGATTCCATTTAAATGAAATCCCAAAACAGGTTCAGCTATTTGGTGGTCATAGAAGTCGAAATGGTGGTTCCTCTGGCAACCTTTTGGGGTGTTGGAAATGTCCTATATATTGAGTTGAGCGGTAGTTACATGTGTGTGTGTGTGTGTGTGTGTGTGTATGTAAAGATTCAAGTTG